CCCCGCCCCCCTCCAGCAAGGGCTCTGCTTAGAGCAGGCCCGTTAAGTGGGAAGGGAAAGAAGGGCACGCCTGTTTGGTTCCTCCCCATCCCTCCATGGCCCTACAAAAGCATCATCAGATAAAGACTGAAATGCTTTAGTGGACAGAATTGATTTTGATCTTCCAATAATTATAAACAGGAGCCATATACACAGCAACAGCCCATGCTCCATCGGTCTCATTTCTGCCTTTTCATACACATTTCAACATAATTGGCATTGGAAGAAATGAGGCTCAAAGTCAGACAGGTCAGGTTATGGAGCCTCAGAAAAGCTCTGAAAGATTTATGGTAAATCATCCTGAAAGCTTATCTGTATCTCCTGCTTGCTCAGACTTTGGGGTCAATTAGTCTTGCCCTCATGGTTTTGAAACCTCTAAGGAGTCCTATCTGTGGAAGGCACATTCACAATCCCACCCACTCATATATTATCATAGATGGGTGGGTCATGACTGCTTTCTTTAAAAAATACTTTGTGGCACGTACCAGATGGTTTGAAGTACTAATTTCTCATTGCACACTAGAAAAAAAGATGAGGAAATAAATGAAGAAAAGGAAAATCCTAGCACCAGTTCTCATAAATCATTTAGATGAAAATGCTAGTTCTCTGAGAGTACTGATACTGGAAGAGACAGGTGAATGAAAATGTTTTTTTCTAGATAGCATTCATCCTGAGAATTCTTTGAAACAAGATTTGATTACATTTTAATATTTGCAGTATATATAAGCCATTTTCAGAAACCAATGATCTGGTTTGAGAGGCTGAAACACTTTTCCTTAGTTGTTTTAACTGTGAAGTTAAAATGTTTATATATGATCGCATTTCCGAAGTTGGTATTTAACTCATTTTTTCCTCCCTAGGGGAATCCTTCAACTTGATGCCAATGTCATACCTGTGGCTGCAATAAGTTTACTTCCAGCTACTCCAGAGAAGATAAACAACATAGAGGAGAAATGTATTTAAAAACACGAGTACTGTAATTATTTGAGTTTGTTGACCTAATGAACCTGGCACTTGGATCTTAATATATTACTTAATTCAGCCTTCCGAATGTACTGTCCTCTAGACTTTGGGACTACAACTCCCAGTATTCATAAATAATTGCAGTTCTGACATATCTAGAGGACTCTAGTTTGGGAACTGCTGATGTCACAGCAATTCTCAGCCTGCTATTTTTATTAAATTTATGAATGATTCATATTTAAAGGGCAATTAAGGCTGACGTCCAGAATAATTTTTGGATTTTTTTTCGTTTCAACCATTATAATTATTCTTGACTGGGAAAAAAAGCAGTTTCCTTACCTAAGGACTTCAATAAGATCTGAGTTCTGTGAAGTAATTTCCTGATCCCTGAAATGATATCTTCCTTGTATCTTCCCAATATTGGCTGCAGGACACACAAGGCTAATCCAGGAAATTTGACTCAGACTAGTGGAACTGATTAAGTAGCAGCAACAGGAGCATAGGCCTGTGATAATACTAAAAGCTATTTTAGGCCTTTAAGCGTGCCTTATGGGGGAAGTCAAAATCAAAACAATTTTCATACTGCTCTGACAGTAAACGGTGTGATTTTTGTTTGGATTTTTCAAAAAATAATCTTCATATTGTAAGCACTTTCAGGGTCTTTCCTACTGAATTTATGAACATTTGTGAAAATGTACTTCTTAAACAGTTACAATACACACTACAAATGTCTTTTATCCAGGAGTACAAAATGTCTAAAAGTACTGTATAAATCCAGAGCATTTTTATATACCAATTTGTCAGATCATCAGATCTTATTGCAAATTTACATCTTGAGATAAACTGGAGACCATCTTTTTTCAAGTTTGAACAGGGAGCAAATCTGGATCTAGTCCATTGCATTGGCCAAGTATTCTTGTGTTCTAGTTGTAGATAAATATTAGGTAGGATCTTGTGGCTTCAACTGTCCATGTTTGGGTATGACTATATTACAAACAGTTTGTTTGAACTGAGTTTAAGTCACTGTTTCTCGTTTATCAAAATCCATAATTGGTGTTTGAAAATGCTGCTGATCAGGAAATACTGTAGAGCTCATGTTTCCTTTCCTGTGTGTATGAACACTATGATAATTGATGTTTGGTGAATGCTGAAATAAGGTGTTTCAAGTTGTTAGCACATTTGCTAAATGAGAGGGTTCATTGAAGTTCATCACTCCAAAATGAAATTTACCTGGGACATTTTTTTCAGTTTTGCTGATTGTTACCAACACAGGCATTTATTTCATCAGCAATCAATAATATTGAAATAACATTGTAGGAGAACTCAAAGAAGCTGCACATCACCAAGAATAATGCAGTTGCTGCATCATACTATGCTGCCTTAGTGGTACATTTCAGTGGAAGACACCCCAAAAAGGCAAATGGCACTATTGTGCGCTTTGGAATTGAATGACTGAATTGTGGAAGCAATTATATCCAACTGCTTTAAAATTGTTATAGAAGACATCTCAGTTCAACCAATTGTTGATAGTCCCAATGGCAATATTGAAAAAGGTGAGCACAGAATGTCCAATAAAGGCTGTCATCCCTTCAGTTAAAAAAATGTGAAAGCTACTCAAACAGTTGATGTCACTGTTTGAACCACTACAGCCAGGCGGTGGTGATACATTAGATTGTATCTAATACTGAAATAGGAAATAATGGTGCCATATTTTTTTAAAAAGAGCCCTTTTCCTAGGGCTGAGAGAGATTGGCTCAGTCAACAGCTGGCTTTGCATCTAAGGCAGAACTAGAATCAATGGTTTCAAGCCCAGTGCCTTTAACCACTATATGAACCTCTGTGGCTTACCTATATATGTTCTGACAAGACCAAAATATTCACAACTAATGATTCTTGGGCAACCATCAACTTTGACAGAGCTCAGCTTGAGCAACATCATAATTTAAATATCTAAGTTGTCAAAAAAAATTGTTTCCCACAGTTGGCATCAGTCATCAAATCAGCCATACTGTCTAAGCCTTCAGTGTGCAGATATGTTGTCCTGGTGAAAAAGCCAAAATGCAATTCATGTAATAGTGACAATGTTGCTGTAAATGGTGCAGAATCCTGCTTCAAACTAATTTCAATTTTTTTTGAAATTTTCCAAATGCGGTGCCTACCATTTCTATTATTGTATATTAGGGACTTCAGTCTATTGACAAAAAGGTTACATGAAACAAATGCTGCAATCAGCCTATAATAGCAGATAAGGTTCTGGAGCATTGCATGTAATCATTTGGGCACATCTGTGTAACTTAATACCCACTTTCTTATTGACTACTCTGGAAATGATGCTGTTTATTGATTACTCTGGAAATGATCAAATACATGATCAGCTCTTAAAGAAACTTGGCTGGAACGTGGAAGTTCTAACAAAACTCAGACTCAATAAAAGTGAAACAGCTGGGCCAGAGCAAACAAATATGGAGGAATGTGCTGTGATCTCAATAGATACTGATTACTTAAGCTAAGTACTGATTAAGCTATAAATTACCAGATGGGAGTTCAGGACTTGAAGCAAGCAAGATGAGTAGTATAAAACTTTCAAGTGAACATTCTGAGAAATTGAAAACTTCCAAAGCATTTAAAAAAAAAAAAAATTAGTTGGGCAGATGGTAGATCTACAGCTGGGGTTCACAACCTCTGGGCCATGGACTGTTACCAGTCTGTGGTCTGTTAGGAACTGCACTGCATAGCTGGAGGTGAGTGGTGGGCAAACGAGTACAACCAAAACCACCACTGCCACTCCAGCCCATGGAAAAACTGTTTTCTCTGAAACTGGTCCCTAGTGCCAAAAAGGTTGGGGACTGCTGATCTACAGTACTTACTTCAAATGTCTTATTTTCTGTATGGGACATCTAGTTGCCCTTTAAGCAGTTTAAGTTTGAAAACAGCAGCTGTCACTGTACTCTTGTGCAATTCCTGTTCAAATAAACCTATCACTCTTTGTCAAAGTCCCATTGATGGACTGACTTGCATATATTTGTTTGTTCTCTTTTTCAAGTCATATACATTCTGGCAGTAATTTTTTCCTAGTTTATACTTCCAACCTCTACTCCTGTTTCTCTGAATGATTCCCAGTTTTAAGTTTTATGAGGTAAAGCTTACTTCTTTTCATTATAAAGAAAACAAACCTCCAAGGTATGTGAGGACTTCCCAGTGTTAGTCATTTAGATCATGTTTCTGTTTTTGCAGCTGTACATATTTGAAACGGAGTAGAATATATAAGCTTCAAGTGACATAGTGCCATTTTACTGAAAAATGACTTTTATCATTTTCTTGCCTCTGCCTTTTAGCCATGCTGGCACTCTTTTCATCTAGCTAATGCCTCTACCAAGCTGTGGTATTCTTTCTGTCCAAGTTCTCATTACTGGAAGATTAATGAAAAACAGTAATCTCAAAGAGATTTAAAATTCCTGCTTCTCCTGGTACAATTTTCCCTTAACAAATCTCTTGGAAACTTAATGGAATTTATTTTTTGCCAGTATTTTATTTACATTGGATCTAAGAATGCTTTTCTTAAATGATTGAACACTTAGGTTTCACTAAGAGTTAAATCTAGTGCCCTCTCCTTTCTGTTCAGTTCCACCCCATTAAATGTGAGATATGTATTGAATCAGTGTTAAGTTCTAATTGGGAATTAGCTTTAAAATACTTGCTTTGTGATCTCTAAATATGACAAAGTGAAGCATTTACCTTTATAGAAAAAGAGGGGCAACTTTTTCCATGATAAAAGGACTGTAAAAAAATTTTTTTGCGGAGATAGCTATGTGTACTAATTGCCTGAAAAATGGAATTGTATATTTTAACAGTGACTACTTTTAAAACTATAACCAACAAAATGGAAATATGTATTATATGTGGAAATGTTGCAAGTAATAATCTAATGTGCTAAGAAACAGAACAAGTATGGGTGCAAGAACCTATTCTCAGCTGGACTAAGAGAGAAAAAATGAGCTGCACTTTAAAAAACCAACTTTACTATATATGGTTGTTACAAAAAGTTAAAAAATAGCACTGAGCACCCAGGAGTACTACTTTTTCATTACTTTTGGAACTCTTTACAATACTTAAGGCAGATTTCTCAAGGTAGAAAGGCTTAACATGATCCAAATTCAAAAATCCATTTTTCATATTTCTCAATGTCCGCAGCAGAGACTGATTTTGAAACTTTTTTTAAGGCCATTTCAAAATCTTCCATTGTTGTTGGCATGTGCATTTCATCTCTGGAAAGATTTCTGATTTCTTCTGGCGTCAAGCCTTCAATACGCCTTCTCATAGCCATCAGTGAAGCATCTCTGTTGATTAAAAAAAAGTGTGCCTTTAATGAGAATGCAGAAATGCCAAATAACACTAAAAAAACTTGATTGCTTATTTATTTCTACTTAAAATCTACCCAGTTCAGAGTGGCTTACAGCATAAAAACAAGACAACGAACTCACAGTTCAGATAACAACTTAGCAATAAACAGATGGCAGGGCCAGGAAACACAATATCACATACATGACAAAGGCTTCCAATCACTTATCCCAAAGCCTGGGAAATTAAAACAGAAACAAAACAGATCCTTAAGCCTTCTGAAATGCCATAAAGGTAGAAACCTCTCAAGTTTCAGGGAACTTCATTCCCTTCATGGCAGGTACCATGAGAGTTTAAAAGACAAATCAACTAAATTGTGAGTGGTTACTTTGACTTTTAGTAATACCATTGGAAATATTTGGATAACATGGTATGTAATAATGAGAAGATCCAGCTCTTTACACAAATCAAGTTCTTTAATGGCAAACATAAAGCATAGCTTCATCTTTTCAAATGCTGATTTTTGGCAAAAACATCAAATGACCACAGGATGCTGCAAATAGCCGTAAATGCGGGTCGGTTGCTAAGCACCAAAATGCAGTTATGGGTGCTTTGGGTTCTAAATACGGGGGGGGGGGGAGGGTTTCTGTTCTAAATCTGAATGGTTGCTATGCATCTGGCCATACCCGTATTTGAATCCAAAGCAAAGAAAGTGCACTGTAGGAAGTATGGATGTACCCTCAAAATTCTTGAACTAAAACACTTATTTTCCCGGGGACTACATGGCTGCTGTATGAGTGTAGAAAAAATTAACTGGTTCTCTAAGAAGGCACCAACAAGCATACCTGTGATCCCTCTGCATGAGTTACTGCCCCAAGCAACAAATAGAAAGTTTAAGGAAGATGAAGATACAGCAATTTGAAGATACAATGAAAGTAATGGTATATTTTCAATATACAGAGTTGGATTTCTTGACCCCTATTTCTCTGTTCACCTTGATAAGAGTCACAAAGTGAAAAGAGCTGAATTGTAGAAGTTTGGATATGTAGAATCTATGATGAACTAGATGTTTTTCTCCAACCCTCATCATCATTAACCATTGATTGTATTACTAGCTGTTGTAAACAGCATCTAGGGGAGTCAAAGATTTCTCATCCCAAAATAAAAATAAGGCAGTAAATTGAACAAGTTAGCAAAAATTGAGAGAAGCAGGAAGCAAAGTGAGAAAATGACTGAAATGGATAAGGAGATGAAATAATGATTCTGCAAGGGAAAAGGAGGAAATAGAAGGGATAGAGAATTATAAATAATAAAATGGGCAATGTGGTTGTGTTTTTTTAAAGTTAACCAGAATATAATTTGTAGTGTGTAGAATGATGGGCTATCAAAAAAGATTAAAGAGTATATAAGTATCTTGAAAAAATGGGCAAAAAAAGTAAAAAGAGACACAAAATGAGCAGCAATAACCCAAGGAGAAAGGAGGAGGAGTGGGAACACAAGCACTGAACCAAAGCCAGCCAGTAGAGCAATCTTTAGGATCCGCTTCAAAACTTACATTGACATAAGAATAGGATGCTTTTCTTAGATGATTTCCTTGCCAGGCAGCAAAATACCTTTATTGGTCCTGGCATATCATTTTACTACTCGGGATTAAGCCAATCTGTCCATACTAATGAAACTATAATAGCTTGAAGTAGAAAAACGATCTCTAATTTGGCCTGTCCAATATCATCACATTAAGTCATAATGTTATTTGATCACACTGGCTGGGAAATTCTGGGATTTAAAGTCGATACATTTTAAAGTTGTCAGAATTGAGAAACACTGGCTTAGTATAACCTACACATAAACTGTTTCAGTATGGCTTTATCAATCAAAATCAAACAAGTTTTTTTTTTAAAAAAATCTTATCCTTCTCTCTTTTTTTTGACTGCTTTCTTTAAATCTTTTACAGAACCAGTATTTGTACTGTAATGGGAGTCCTTTTCCATGGTATAAGATTAGAGCTAGTTCCTTCAAAATAAAATATTAATAAAACAATAAAATAAAATAATAAAAATAAAATAAAAGCTGTGCAATTTTCACATACCTGCACACATTGGTAATGTCAGCTCCAGAATAACCTTCCATATTCTGTGCAATAGTGACAAGGTCAACATCAGCAGCAAGTTCCAACTCCTGTAGATTTATTCTGAGTAGCTCCTCTCTGCCTTTGGCTTAACAAAAAAAAAAGTAACCAAAATGAAGCACAGAGAAAAAGCATCCTTTAACCCTTGAATAACATGGTTAAAATTGTTTCAATTATATAATTCCTAATTTTAATTAAAGTACCAACATCTTTAAACAGAACCACTTAGTTTGTTATCCTAGGATCTTAACCTGCTACTTAAGACTGTGCAGTAAGGGTAAGGACATTTTTTCTAAACACCTCCTGGAAATATTCATCATCAAAATCACTGTTCCTGCCTCCTAGAAATGGCAATGATCAAATATGCATTTGATATTAAAAATTCAGGATGTGCCAACTATATTGGATTTTTTTTTAAATGGAAGTTTATACCTGATGGCAAAGGAATATAAATTCTTTTTTCAAGGCGACGTCGTAATGCTTCATCAATATCCCATGGAAAATTAGTAGCAGCAAGTACCATCACCATTTTGGAAGGATCATCATTTTCAGAAGCACCTCCCACTCCTATTATTAGAAGATAGGAAAAAAATTAGAAAGCAGAACAAAATAATATATGTTCAAGTTTGCAAGTCAGAAAGTTATCATTACATTGAAGCTGAATTTTAATTACCCACTTTCATGGAAACAGGCTTGAATTTTAATTCAAATGCTTTATACTAACGAGTATTCAATTGCTGATAATTTGCAACATTTGATATGTAGGTAATTACAGATACCATCCCACTATTCAAGTGCAAATAAAAATACAAAGCTATTGCAAATTAAATCATCTAGGCAGACTAATGTCAAAATATCTGAGACATTCTGGTTTGTGGATTGGTTTTGTTTTTTTGCTGGACAGATATTTCAATATATGCCTCTTACACATTTTATTTGCTCATACAATTTCTACCACTGCCCATTTCAATCCAGTTGACTCTTGTTTCCAACTTTCTGCAAGTGTGATTTTACAAGAGAGAATTTGAAAAATCCATGTGTAGATTCTAATACGAGTGTCAACCAAGTTGCAGGTATTATTTCAAACATTTTTTAAAAAGGCAACCAAATTTGTTTACACAATCTGAAAAGTTCTAATTTAACAAATTAAATTAGAATTTGGGATTTGTAAAATATATGTGCCATTTCCAAGAACCAATTTCCTTGTTAAGCCTTTCTCCTTTCAGTTTTGCTCATGAATTCTTGTACTATATTTGTATCTGTCTATTCTGTTTTACTAATCTGTGTTCTGATGCAAGAATTTTTTTTTAAATTCTAAATAATGAAAATTAAAGTACAAAAATAGGCCATTTATCCATAAATGCAACCAAACTAGAATTGGAGTCAAGGTGGCCTTGAGTAGCAGCATCTCAGACTGACTGAAAGTTGAAATCATCACTGAGTTTGGAAAAACACCAAAGCATACATTTGAATGGATTTTAGTGTCTTAGTGAGCAGGTCATAATTTCTAATGCTCAACTGCTACTATAATATTGAAGGGTCCTACTTTTTTCTTAATACACTTTCAACTAAGCTTGTTTACCATCCATCTGAACAAGTAATTCTGCCTTCACCCTTCGGCTGGCTTCGTGTTCCTCAGAAGTTCCTCGACGGCTACAGATGGAGTCAATTTCATCAATAAATATTGTTGTTGGTGCATAGAACCGAGCCTGGAAATATAAAATGGCAAAGGAACATTTAACTAAAAATTATTCCAACAAACTACTCCTGTTCTAAAACAGTATTATCTACAGTAATGTTACCAAGTAAATCAATTCTGGAATGATTTTGAGTAGGAAAGGCTGATCTTTTTTATCCACTACAGTCCCAACCTAGATTACACTATCCCACTGACACATTTTGACTTCAAACAAGCAGTAAGACAGGGCAAATGCACCTTGTAAAAACTACAATTAGAGTTATGTGTAATTTGGCTTGGCATCTTCTAAGTAACAGACTACACTATTATAATAATAGCTGTGTATGATGGATATAAATACACTGTCATACACTATCCCAATGGAATAAATTAGTACAGCATAAATTGCCAAAATGTTAACTTCTACCGCAGGTAGTGTCAAATTACAATTGGGATCGGAATCTTGGTCTTGGAATTAAGTGGTCATTAAGTGAGATCTCATGTGACTTTGCTCAGTGTCTGGAACTTCTAGTTGTGGTGGTTAATAATCAGCTGGGTTATTAGGTGGATGGAGTCAAGAGCTGCCTGCCAGAGAGAGCTGAAACCCTCTGGAAGGCAGCTCTTTCAATCATCCCCCAGAGGCAAGACGGAGTCTTATTGGCAAGCAGCAGCTATAATGTTTCGGATTTGTTTGGGAAGAAGACCTTGAAAACACACAGGAATGCAAATACAGCATTTTATTAAATCAGCTACCCACTGAGCTGGAACAGCATAGTACAAAACTATTTAACTTCTGGTAAATCTGTATTTTATAACTGATCACACTCAATCTGATGGCTATTTTTGAATAATTTCCCCATAACAGTCAGTTTGTGAGCACAACATGAATTTAAAATTCCAAATGTTCCCTAGTCCATAAACTGCCTATTCTATTTTGTGCTAGCATCCTCTCCAAAGGCTCAGTGACTTTGAGCCAATCACTTTTTGTCAGCACAACCCACCACACAGGATTGTTGTTGTGGGTAAAGCATGAGGAGGAAGTCCCAAAGGTGCTTTTTCAAGAGGCAACTGAACTTCCTGGTTTGAAGATTTTTAGCTTCTCCCCTAAGTAGCTTCAGTCAGAGCTGAAGAAGCTGCTTGGATGAGAAGCAAAACATCTTCAAAGATAAAACAGAAAGTCCTGTTGCCTCTTGAAAAAGCACCTTTGGGACAACCATGACCTGGATGACTGAGAATCTCCATAGAGTAGACATTTAGGAGGAGGAAGGCATATTAGGCATGCTCAGTGCCCTGAGTTATATATTAAAGAGCCAGAATAAAAATACATTAACACGAATAATAATATTCCTGTATCAAATCTTAAGACAAATCAGTAAATCACCATTTCAAATAATAGGCGAACAAGCTTTTCAGATTCTCCTCTGTATTTTGAAGTGAGTGTTGCTGATGATATGTTGAAAAAGGTAGTTTTGCATTCAGTAGCTACAGCTTTTGCAAGCAGTGTTTTTCCAGTGCCAGGAGGACCAACCATCAATACACCCTGTTTATAAAGATATCAAGAAAACAGCACTGATAAGAATATTTGTTTAAAAATATCTACTATTCATTTTCCATCACAATATAAGAAATACGATATAATTTCATTAATAAGCATTTCAAATATATATATAATTTCATAATTATATATATTATAATTTCATAATAAGCATTTTAAATAAAAGCAAAAGAAACTAGTGTGCATTTAGTAACTTTTAGCAAATAGCAACTCTTGTTTAATTATCCATGTTACACTAACTTAAATAGATTTTATTCTATTGTGGACCAATGTTACAATTCCAGAACCAACAGGTTGTCAGAACATAATCATGTTTCCAAAATGAAAGGAATTTTAATTGTTAAAGGGCATTGTATCACCAGACACTGTTTTACTTACATAACAAATGACAAGTGAAAAACTTTAGCGATAGTGTAATGGCTTTGCGCCTTAGATTATATGAATTTATTTTAATACTATATAAGCAAAATGCTTTATATGGTTTGTATTATTATTCTGCTGTAAAACCCTTGCATTATTTATTTGTACAGGTGTCAAGATTCCATAGTTGGAATCCACTCTGGCTTATGTTATTTGCATTGTTTCCACCTAGTGCTTGAGAAATCATTAATGGGACTGCATATCCTTGATTTTTTTTCACCCTGGCCTAACATTGAATACAACCCAATGAAAACTATTTTGATGTTCCAGCAATAATTGGGTTGACTTTACCTTCCAGGGCCTTCTGATTCCTTTAAAAAATTCTGGCATCCACATGGGTAAAACTACTGCCTCCTTGAGTAATTTTTTAGCATCCACTAAATCAGCTATATCATCCCTGATGAAAAAAGAAATGAGCAGATTATGACTTGCCACAAGCACTGTATCCCTATTAAATTTCATTGTAATCTTGGCTGAATGCATGATATTTCAGCGTAGAATATTAATATTTTCTATTCAAATTCACTCCACACGAAAGATTTAACATTCAGTTCATTTACATTTTTAAATTTTAGAATTCCATCCTTTTCAGGTGTTACAAAAACCAGAATGTTCATAACTTGAATGCTCATTTCCATCCCAACATTGTTCACTGCTGACATTTTTTTCCTGTAGACATTCATGAATTGAATGTGTGTGTGTGTGTATGTATATACATAAAGGATCATTTTCTGCAGATATCATCTGAACGATGACAGAAGGCGGGCCTATTAATACACCCACAAAGTAAGCTGCCATTTGTTCACTGAAAATTGATCACTTCAGTATTTTATTATAGTCATGAGATGGAAGTGAATAAAATAGTACAGTTTACAACTAGCTCATCAATGCAATCGAAGTGTATCTACAAACAGTAGACTTTGTCTTTACAAATAGTACAGTAAAATTTGGCTCATAGAAACTGAATCATTTTGGTATGACAGCAATACATGTGCACAGAATAAATTGCTTGTTGTGCTTGCAGTACTTTGCCAAATAAGTAATAGTAAACCGACTCTTACGTTCTTGTAAAAATGCAATATAAAATGACATTGACTATGGAAACAATAGATCCTTCTTCATAACAGCACAATCTTAGTTCATAAGGGATTATTTCTCTTTTTTTGTAGCTGCCCTCTACCGGTAGAACTTGGGTAGGGAGGACATTAAGGCATGCTAATGTTATTGTAATTTTTGCAACCTATCCTATGCCATATTGAAAGTGATTTATGTAATCCTTTGAAAAAAACTGACATAATTCATTTTCTGTTTCTAGAAAATGAATGTAAAGTGAATGTCACTTGTTATATAATAACTATAATGACCAATTTCCAAGAAAACGTTAGTATTCTTGGCGAAGGTTTTTGAAATAAAAAGGTCTTATAAATCTTTGCTTATAGTTACAGATTGTCCTAAGCACATACAAGACTGCAGCCATCTTTACTTTTCCATTTGCCAGATAAAAAGATGATGGTGTCTTTCCATTAAAACAGGGGTCCCCAACCACCGGGCCGCGGACCGGTACCGGGCCGTGGAGCACTCTCTACCGGGCCGCAAAGATTTTTTTTTTTTTAAAAATGGCGGCTTTCTTCACCTTCGGTGAATGCTGCTGGGATCGGGGATCAAGGACACAAATGAAAGAAGGGGAGGGAGGAAGCAACCGAAGCCTGTCCTTCTCTCTGGGTCAGCTCTCTCAGTCGCTCTCTCGCTCCTCCACCAGCCCAGGAAGAAACTGCTTCAAAGAAGCGGGGGGGGGGGGGGGCTTTTCCTGTCGCCAAAGCGCCCGTTTCTCCCCCACCCCGTCCACCCGCCCGCCCGCCCGCCCGCGCGCGCGGAGGGTTCAACCCAGTGCTCTGTTCTGCCTGCCTGCCTGCCTTCGTTAATGGTTGAATCGGAACAGCTTCGGCTGAGTAAAAGAGGCGAATAGTTATTATTCTCAGCCGAAGCTGCTCCCAAACAACCAGAAACTAAGGCAGGCAGGCAGGCAGGCAGAACGGGACACTGTGGATTGAAGCGCGCGCGTGCGGGCGGGGTGGGGGTGAAACGGGCGCTTCAGAATAGCTGCGGCGACAGGAAAAGCCCCCCCCCCCTCCCCCCCCCCCCCCCGGTCCTTGCAAAAATTTTCTGCTTGAAACCAGTCCCTGGTACAAAAAAGGTTGGGGACCACTGCATTAAAACACATCCAATTCTGATAATGAACTTTATCTCTTAACAAAAAAATAACTAAGTGTAGGCAAGCGGACTGATAAATGTTTTTTTCCCCTCAACAGTAGATTATTATGAATAATAATGCTGTTATGTTCCTTGTAAGCTGTAGCTGTAGCTGTAGCTCTATCATTATGTTGCTATTTTTGGTTTCAGGATAAACTGCTCAAACTGCTGTCTCTATTGTCTGCCAATTAAAAGGTCTTTGCTTAACTCAGTTTAATACTAGAGAGATTTGTAAAATCCCAGTGAGTTAAGATGTCTCAGTAAGCAAAGTGTACTTCATCATTTTCATAAATTACTGCCTCAATCAATTATAGCCAGATTTAATTTTCTCTAGAGGCAGCATTATGTATTTCAAGTTATAATTGATATTTCAATTGTAAGAATCATTGATTGACATGTGGCTATAGAAACTGAATGAATGCATGAATTTATCTAAAAATTATGAAGCTTAAACACAGACCTCCCAACTTAAAAGAATAGAGATGGTTTATACTTACCATCGAACATTGGGATTTTGGGAAATGATATCTCTTTCTAGAGCTTCTACTAAGTCTTTATCATATCCAGTGCCATCAAATTTCTTTGGCTCAGGTTCTGAAATATCAGTTGAGGACTTATTCTGCATTACATAAAAATGCTTATCAAACATATTAATATTCCTCATAATTATTCCAGTAACTTGTTTAACATAAGTTACACAACAATAAAAGGATAAAATTTCAAAGACATAATTATATAAAACATATATTTAAAACCTCTGGTGTTTACAACCTTTTGTATAATTGCTTTTAATTTTAATTGCTAAAATGTTTTTGATAAGCAAATATTAGTAAAATACACGACCTTTCGAAAGTCAACATTGTCAGCTTTTCTCCCACCATGGGAAAGCAGTACAAGTTTCCCAACAAGTCTTCAGGAATCAGAAACAGGCAAAGTACCTTTTTACAGGCATCTAAAAATAAGGATAAGCAGCTTGCATTTCTCCAAACTGCTCTAACACTGCACAAAAGCCAGAATTGTTCTACTATAAATATATCATTGTTGCGATCCAATCACAGGTCATACAGATCATCATTTTTCTTTTTGTCTTGGGTCAGTGGTAATATGATCTGGTGTTGGAAGATCACTTTCTGGGCATGGTATATTTCTGAGGATTGGGAGTACCGTATATACTCGAGTATAAGCCGAGTTTTTCAGCCCATTTTTTGTGCTGAAAAAAACCCCTCGGCTTATACTCGAGTCAGATTCCCCTCTGAAAAAAAAATGGTGTGGAGCTCCGGAGCTGGGCAGGCGCTTCCCTGCTTCCGTGTTTCCTTTGCAACTTTTAAGCATGGGGGTAATCGGAAGCAGAAAAGTTCTTGCATGAGGATGTATTTTTTCTTTTTTTAACTGTTTTTAGGGGGGGGAAAAGACCCACCGTCATGTGAGAATGCTCAGACACAAAATCTATCCGCCCGAAAATAAGTGTGTGTGTGTGTGGGGGGGGGAGAATTTTAACAGAGGGAAGATGTAGGGAGAAGGCAAAAGCGACGGAAGATCCTTCAGGGGAAACTGAGGGGGAGACTCACCCTTGGTCCAGATGAGCCCCCTTCCCCGCCCCTAAGGAAGCAGAGGCAGCCAGCAAGGGCAGGCAAGCCCCACTTTACGGACTCTGTCCGTCCTCGCTCCCACCCAAAGCCACGAAGTCCCCCAATCGCGCAGCCCAGAATCGCCCTCCCCTCAGGGGGCAGCAACG